AGAAATGTTAAGAAATGAATGAAGAAGTGTGTAATAGTTACAAAATTATACTGCTGAAGAGATGATGAGAATATTAGAAGATTGTAGAGAAAGCTTGAATAGAATGAATTTGTTTTGCATCCTTTCCTAAATATTAGAAAATTTTGAAATATTGAAATTTAAAAATATATATTTAATTTATTTAACCATTTAGTTACATAGATGTACATGTACATTTTACAGATTCATTTCATCTGTATACTTTCATTAATGTTTGAATTCCCTATTATTAATTATCAATTAATTACCATTCAATATGTATTTAATTTATTTAAAAATTTGGTTACAGTCGATGTACATGTTGACACATGTGTACTTTTATTAATGTATGAATTTTCTATTATTAATTCTCAATTAATTAACATTCAAATTCATTTAATTAATATTCATCTTAATTTATGTATTTTAGTGTTATTAATTCTAATTATAAGTTAACTAGAATTTCACATTCAAGAATGCATTTCATTATTCACATTCATGTATACTAATTAACATCCAATTTATTTAATTGAAAATTAAAAATATGATTTAACATTCATTGTCACGTATATATTCCCTAGTATTTGTTAGGTATTTGATGTAATTGACAAGTCTGTGAACAAAATGGACTAAAATTAATACGTTGTAAAAATCAAGGAATAATGTGCAAGTAGTGAAAATTGTGTTCTTTTAGGTCTTGGGTTCGAGAATGGAAAAGAAGGAACAACGGCACCGTAATTTCGCTAAACTGTCGCCAAGACTTGGCTCAAGTGTAAAAAAAAGTAACACTATCGCTAGCCTGTCGCCAGGCGTTCGCTCGAGCGACGCATTGTCGCCCAGCTCTCGATCGAGCGAAAGGGTTATCCGGAAATTTTTTAATTCGTTTTCTTAAGACTTTTTATTGGCACATTCATACATTGACCTACATATAAATACTTGAACGCCTCTGAACGAGTTTTTCGAAGGTTGAACGCTGTAAAAAACATATTCTTTTGAAATCATCTTCATAAATTTGCTTTTAACCTTCATCCTGTTATTGGCTATTGGCGGTGAAAACATCAAACCCACAATCCAAATACCAAACTGTTGCTTCCTTCATATCTGTTAGAGGTCTGAAAATCAAGAAAATGTGACTGGAGTTCTAGTCGTTGAAGAACGCTCATTAATCCACAGGAGATAGACGATTTCACAAAGTTGGAAATTGCTGCAGGAGAGCGCAATCTAGGATAGCTTTGAAAAGTACAGCTTGGAGTTGGTGTTGAAGCACGAAATTCAGAAGAGCTATTGGAATTGCAGTCAGAAAGTACTAGTGGTAGTCGAGTCTAGCGGACTGTAAGTTTTAATTCGTTTATAGTGGATTGTTGACAGGCAAAGTGCCCGAAATTTTTACTTAGTTGGGGTTTCTCCGTGATCAATTCTTGTATTTATTTATTGCTTTCATAACTGCGGTATTTCAACATAGGAAAAACTGAATTGTATGATTAACCATTTAGAGATATTTAATAGTGACTTGTTGCTATTTAATTATTAAGTTTTTAATTTCGCGTAATCACCTATTCACCCCCTCTCTAGGTATAGTTTGGGTCGAACTTCGTATTTTTAATATTAATTCTAAATTAATTAACTTTCACACATATAATATTACTTTTTCAGGACTTATAAAGTATTTCATAGTAACGTGCAATGCACGTTCAACGTTAACTAGTATATATATAATATGTTCTTAATTATCAATTATAAATGACTTTTTATAACTGTTTTTAACTGCCACGGAATGCCTTAATTCATGCTTTGGTCCTTTTACCTGCAAGAACGATTGCCAATATTTAAGGCCATGTTTGATAGATTGCACGTTCAACGTTAACTAGTATATATATAATATGTTCTTAATTATTGTTGGAAATGAATGAAAATAA